GGCGTTGGGGGGTTTCCTCTGGGGGCTCCCATTTCCCCCTACAGTCCAAAAACATGCCGAGGCTAATTGGAATTACCAAATTGCCCTGCGATGGGTTGGCGCCCCATCCTGGGTTGTTCTCTGCCTTGCACCCATAAGCTCTGTACCCCCCCCCCCACAACCCTGAAAATGGATGGACAAAATGTACATTGATTACTTCAAATATGTGCATGGAGTTTCAAACACAGCAGCAGCACTGTGTCACCTGTGAGCTGGCAGGTTTACCAGAAATCTATGAAAGACCCATTAAAGAAGATTTGGTCTCTCCCCAGTCAACTCTCACCCAGCAAAATGACTCAGTGTGTAGCACTGTGGCCTCACACCTCAACGGTTGTGGCTTTGAATCCCACCTCCACACCATGTCTGTGCAGTTGGCATGTGATATTGTGTGTTTCTACCCATAGATGAAAACCTGCATTTGGGTGAAGTGGTACAGTATCTCTAAACTGCCCACAGTGTGTGACCAGCAATGAGCTGGCATTCCGCCCTGGGCGACTCCTTCCTCTGTTACATGGGATAGTGAGTCTATCACTCTGTGCAGGATGGGTGGTGGTGGGTGATAGACTTGTGTCTGACATTTCGTTGCCCTCAAGAACTCTCCAACTTTCATTGTGCATTCATATTTCTGCTGTTTTAATGCTGGCTTATTACAATCCTGTTTGACAATAATCTTCTGATACAGCAGCTGAAGAAAATATATTTCAATAGGAATATGTGTGTGAACTGCATGTCTTTCAACAGATCTACAAAGTGAGTGACTGTCTGGGCATTCCAGTGTCGCAGGTGCTTCCAGTGAAGAATTACTCCCATGAGATTGAGCTGGATGACACCTGTGACATCCTGCTTCTCATCGCAATGCAGCAGATGCTAAACTTTGCTGACAATTACTTTGACAATTTTAGTAATGCCACAGAGTAAAGATGTTGTGATCAGTGCCATCATATTTCTCTGATGGTGTTGAGAGCCACTGTCCAAGCTGTTTTGCCCAATACAATGTTAGATTCCTACTCGCTATACTTACTGTATGCAGAAATGTATTTCTTTACCTTAATTACACACAAGCTTTTTTTGTAAGTTAGATTTAAAATTGTCTTTTTACTTGGTGATGAATGATGTGTGCATAAAACCAAAGATATAATCAAGTGCACAGTGTAACCCTACACTGGCTTACATGCTAAGCTAATAAAAATGACCTGGTGATTCTCAACTGAACTGAAGTCAATCTTACTAAACTTTGGGTTTGGAAATGATTAAATAAAACAGTTTCAGATTCAAAATCTTCATCACTGGAATTTTTACTCAAAGGATGTGTCATATGAACATTTTCCAGAAGATGTTATCAAAGTGTTTAGTTTGCTAGTTTAAATGTACTTTTGCCATTCTACACAGACTGCTAACAGGTAAGCGTTAATTAAGCCATTGGCATCTTAAGTAATTTGTCAGGAAATCAAACTAATATAATTCACCTCAGAGATGAGGTGAAAACAAGAGACCTTCTGATGAAGGGAAGGGCTGTAGATCTACACAGCTCATCCTGCAGCAGAGGTATGAGACTGAAATGTCACCCTCTCCAAGGTCAGTACAGGTCCAGGGAGGCAGATGCACTGTAAAACCTGACTAGTTAGTTCAACTCAAACTGTTTGAGGAAACCGATTGCCTTAAGTCATTTAAGTTTATGAACTCAAACAATTAAAGTAAATATATTTTTTGTATTGAGTAAAAGTAACTTAAGTATTCATAATTTACGCAACTTAGTTAAATCAAGTTAAGAGCATCAGCTGCATTCATTAGTTTGATTTAAATGACGAGTAAAAATAACTTAAATGCATCCTCCTTATATAAATACTACTACTTAAATTTTACTTACTCAGTTTTCTTTAAGATTTATTATTACATTCTAGTTGTGGCAACTTTTAAGCTAGTTGTGGTTACTCAGTTCATTTAAGGAAACCTTACACAGCAAATGTGCCAGTGTTAAATGAACACTGCATGGTGTTTAAATGGGTCCACATTCAGTATTACCTTTAACACTTTACAGTGTGCAGTAAGTCTTTTTTTTTAAAGTGTTAATCTGTATTAGCTCTAATATGTGTTCAATTTACACCATAGGGTGTTGTCAATGAGTCTCCACCTCCACATATCTGCCCTATTTTAATATGTGCACAAGTCAGGAGGACCAGAAGAGCCATCCCAGAATTACCCACCATCATGAGAAAGACTCTGACCAAAAAGAAAAAAAAGAAGCTTTTTCTTGTCTTATATGTAAGTTTTGCTGGCTCAGTTCTGACTGATCTTGAAGATTAGAGAGTTGTGTTTTTGGTGTTTTTTTCCCTTGTATGTGGTGTTATAGGATGATGACATCAAGTCAAGAAAAAAGCCTCTCGGAAACATACAGGACTTGTCCCCATAGTGGTTTTTATTTTTATGGTGTGGGGGTGTGTTTGATTGCCAGTCTTGCCCTGAGATGACTAACATATGTTTGTCAAAGTGTTAGAACAGTTGTCGTACCCTTTCCTGTGCAGCTCCTGGTACCGCCCACTCCACTGTAGACCACTGGTGCTGGATGTATATTTGCATAGCATAACACAGTGCAGTTTTTGTTTTTTAATCCACTGCGATTGTGATGAATAGGGCAAGAGAACAAAAAACACAGAAATGGCTCTTGCATGCTAACCAGTAACTAGGTGTAATGGTTTATCATCTATGGTTTAACTAGAAAAAGCATTTTGGGGACACACCCGCCCGTGCACTCGTGATTATTTCAAAGTTAAATCTGCACCCGCCCGGGCCCGTTAACATTCCGCCCGTTACCCGCCCATACCCGTGATAAATTGCACACAGTTATTTTTTCTATGCACCTCTCAACGTGACAAGCACTAGGCCTACATGAATTTTGAATTGAAACGAAAAAGTCCGTTTAACACAAAATCAAATCAGATAGATCTAAGCTATCCATACTGTGACGAGCGTGAAACAGAGAACACGACGAAACGCTTCAGCAAGGATTCAGACGTGTAGGTGAATGTTTGTCGAGGCGGTTATCTAATGGTGCATTTGTTTTTCTCTCGGAACTCGGAAATTCCGAGCTGAGTTACATCACCTCTGACAATCTCCCGTTTGAGCTACCACATCTCGGAACAAACATGGCTGCCTCCATGAACACGCTGCTGTGTGTTGTTGCTTTATATTTTAGCAGATTTGAAGTGAGATTATTTTTTCAGCGAGACAAACAAGAAACACGAACTAGTCAAACCACATTAAAAGCTTTATAAAATATTTTAGCACATTCATAGCGATATTCTTTTTTTGAGAGGTAAACTACAAACAAACCAAAGACACTAATAAGTCTGGGGGGTATTCCAGAAAGCTTGGTTAACTTACCATTTGGTAAATCTTAACCTCTGGGTTGATTTACCCCAAACCCGCATACCATGAGTATGTCGGTTCCAAAACACCTGAGAAGAGTAAGTTCAATCAACCTCCTATTG